TAATAATAATAATAAAAGAACATCTGGCAGTTCTGCAGTCTTTGCGCATAACATGCAAGGGAGTAAATCCCATTAAGCTGTCATTTTTTTGGTGTGATTTACAACCATGGAGTCATACCTCCAACAGATTACAGTATAGATTCTAACTGTTTCTGTTTTAGCAATGATGAACCGAAACTGGTAAGATACTGAGGATGATACAGGGGTTAAGTATTCAAGAAAGCTGAAAGAAGGTTGATATAGACACCACTTCCCATAATGAGCAAACATAGTTCTTTTGTCTTTTGTTAAACCACACATTTTGTCTAGCAGAGGAGAATTTTGGCTGCATGTAAATGGCATGAGTGACAGTCCTTCTCTCAAAGTGCCTTTCTCTTTGTGGCAAAAGCATCCGTCTCGTCCAGGTGTAAAGTAAAAACATGGTTCCGTGTACAGCCGGGATGGGTAAAGTGGAGCCCTCTTGCCAGGTGCCCTCTAAATTCTTCCAGGTTTTGCAGCCCACCACCACCACCACTTTCTGCTGGCAAGAAATGATACAGTGCTCTTCCTCCAAGCCTCCAAGGAGCTGGTCCTTTTCCTTTGAAACAGGTCACAGCCCTGCTCCTCCCCATCCCCTTTAACACTCCCAAATAGCCTTTTTCTAAATCAGAAATGAACATCTGTCCCCTTCTGGTTTCATTCTTTGATACTTCTGGCTGTCTGTGCAGCTCGCAGAGAATCCTGGAGGCAGAAAAGGGTCTCTTAGACCTGCCCAAACCTTGAGATATTTGTTCAAGCGATCATCTCCTCCCTCTTCCCCACAGTTTGTTCTTTCTTTTCTGCTTTGAAGTATCAAAGTGGTAGATTTCATACAGTTTGCACGGGCCTGCTGCCACGCCATGACTGGAAATCAGCACATAATGCAAGGAGGCAATACACAAGCCTGCCCCCTAAGGGATCATGCTCTCTGAGCAAAGCCATTGCCTGTCATCAGGGTCATGTTAACAGGAGATAGGTGAGACAGTTGTTTGCCTATGTGTATGATTCAGCCGTGGTATCTCTAGCAGTTCTGGCTCACTGGCTGAAATCCTGTGCCTTAGTTACACATGCAACATCCAGTTGCTTCTTTCTGGCAATTTTCGAAAAAAAAAATGTCGGTTGAAATAATTCTTTTCCTATATCATAAAGCAGTGGTTAAACGAAAGTGACATATTTCACCAAAACAGGAATAGTTTATATATGGTGGTTGGGAAATCCTAAGTAGATCAGGACTCTGGTGGGGGACTAAGGATTTTTCAACCATCCACACCTGAGTTCCTATCTTAAATGAATAAAATGGGGAAAAATATTACCGTATTTTTTCCTAAAATAGTTAGAGGAAAAAATTGAGGGTTGTCTTATACACAGAAGTAAACTGAACGGCTGGCATGCAGAGCCCTCTCTGTGGGCCTGTGACCCATGCCGATGCTGCTGCCCTTGCTCAAGCTCACCCCATTGCCTTATCCCCTGCCCGAAGGGAGCCCGTGAGTGGTGCTGGAGGAGGTGATCGGGTGGTGATAGCAGGAGGAGGCGGAGGCAAAAGGAGGCGGCTGCCCATTGACTGTGGCTCCAAATCAAGCTCACACCGCCAGAGCCGCAGTCAATGGGCAGCTGAACATGCCTCCTCCTTCGCCTCCTCCCCCTGCTGCTGCTGCCGCCACTGCCACCAGATTGCCTCCTCCAGCGCCACTCACAGGCTCCCTTCTAGCAGGGGACACGCCGTCAGCATGAGCTTGAGCTGAACTCCAGCAGCAAGCAGCACTGTGCCCTGCGCTGTGCTGGCATGGGCAGCAGCATTGGCATGGCTCGCTCGCTCTCCTGCAGCACTGGAGCCGCAGCCAATGGGCAGCTGCAAGGGGTGGCCGAGTGTGGCTCCTCCTCCACCACCACTGCTGCCCAGTCACCTCCTCCAGTGCCACTCATGGGCTCCCTTTGGGCAGGGGACAAGGTGGTGGTGAGAGCTTGAGCAGAGCCTTGGCAGTGGCGCTGGAGAGCAGATCAGGTGGGGTCGGCGGCAGCTGCAGGAGGCAGAGGCAAGGAGGAGCCCATTGACTGTGCTGCAGGAAAGCGAACGAGCCATGCCAATGCAGCTGCCCATGCCAGCCTGGTACAGGGCACAGCACCGCTTGCTGCTGGGACTCAGCTTGAGCTCACACTGCCACCTTATCCCCTGCCCGAAGGGAGTCTGCGAGAGGTGCTGGAGGAGGTGATCGGATGTTGGTGGCAGCAGGAGGAGGAGGCGGAGGAGAAGGAGGAGCCACACGCTTGGCTGCCCCTTAGCACGCATCGCGGCTGCCCATTGACTGCGACTCTGGCATTGCAGGAGAGTGAGTGAGCGGGGTGGAGTGCAGCGCAGGAAGCCCCAGCAAAGGCCCTGCCTATATTTGGAGGGGGGGAAAGGTGTCCCCTAGGTGGCCCTCTGGAGGACATGCCAGCCCACTGATTTGGGCACTAGGGCTCAAAAGGGTCAAAATTGGGAGGTGTCTTATACATAGGGGCATCTTATAAATGGAAAAATATGGTAGTTTTATAGCACTGCAATTGTAATTGTAACTAATACATTTAAGTAACTGAATTAACTCTTTTCGTATAATATTTATTTATTTATTTATTTATTTATTTATTTATTTATTTATTTATTTATTTAATTTATACCCCACCTATCTGGTCGGTGAGGACCACTCTAGGCGAGTATAAGCAAAATGTTCTTCTCCATCCTTCCCCCTTTCCTCTTCTTCCTTCTCCTTTTCCTCTCCTTCCAAGGTTAGCAACCACACTATCTGGGTTGTCCGGGACATCCAGATCTTTCTGGTATGATTCCTCTGTGTATTCTTGCCACCTCTTCTTGATGTCTTCTGCTTCTGTTAGGTCCCTCCCATTTTTGTCCTTTATCATGTCCCTCTTTGCACAAAATGTTCCTCTAATATCTCCAGTTTTCTTGAACAGATCTCTGGTTTTTCCTTTTCTGTTATTTTCCTCTATTTCTTTGCATTGTTCATTTAAGAAGGCCCTCTTGTCTCTCCTTGCTATTCTTTGGAAGTCTGCATTCAATTTTCTGTAACTTTCTCTATCTCCCTTGCATTTTGTTTCCCTTCTCTTCTCTGCTATTTGTAAGGCCTCGTTGGACAGCCACTTTGCTTTCTTGCCTTTCCTCTTCTTTGGGATGGTTTTTGTTGCTGCCTCCTGTACAATATTACGAGCTTCTATCCAAAGTTCTTCAGGCACTCTGTCCATGAAATCAAGTTCCTTAAATCTGTCCTTCACTTCCACTGTGTATTCATAAGGGATTTGGACTTTTACTGAATAGCTATCTCATTGTTCAATCAACTATATCCCATGATATTTTTTTTTGCCAACACACTCCATGCTTTTATATCTGACTTTCCTGGGCTAGTTGCTTTTCACTCATTCCATAAACTTAGTTTTCTTAACACTCACTTTTAGATGGTGATCATTGCTTCTTGTTGTCACGTGCCATCAAGCTGGAACTTTCAAGGCAAGTGAGATATTTCAAGTGTTTTTATAAGTTCTACACTCCCAGTGAGCTTCCATGGATGAGTGGGAATTTGAACCCATGTCTTCTAAGTCCTAGTTCATCACTCTATCCTCTACACCACACGGGGCATCCCATTTATTCCTTACTTCACAGATTTTAGTGAACAACCTTGGCAGGCCATTTAAATCACTGGTTCCCAAGCTTAGGTCCCCAGATGTTCTTGGACAAAAGCTCCCAGAAGCTTTCACCACTAGCCGTGCAAGCTAGGACTTCTGAGAGTTGTCGTCCAAGAACATCTGGAGACCCAAGGTTGGGAACCACTGGTCTGAATGGCCAAGGAGTAATATGGTATCATTGACACATCAAATGTTGCCGACAACCTTTGCATTGACAAAGGACACTGTCGTTTGAATCACCAAGTGCTTTTCTAAAGATGTTCATGGCAAACAAAGAGAAAAGCAATGCAGAGGGTATACTTCCGGGGTCCCCCAGTCTGCAGCCTGGTACCGGGCCATGGCCTTGGCAGGACTGGGCCGCAGAGACAGATCTCCCACCCACCTCCCGCATGCATCACCCCTACGCACGCCCACATGCACACACAGCCTGCCCCCACACACGCAAGGGGCAAGCCCTAAGAGAAAATATTGAAAGAACTGGACTAGAGATTGGGGTATTCGTATTCGTATATCCCCATGCAGCTGGACTTGATGAAGGTCTGTCCCCTGAGGCTGAACTGTCCACCCATGCATCCGGCACCAGCAGTGGCCTCACTCATCCTTCCAATCACTCCTGGAGCACCGCCCTCTTCCTGCTCGGCTAGCCCATCCAGGCAGGAGGAGGGAGGAGGATGAATCTCCTTTCACGGCTGCCGAGTGGCCAGCTGAGCAGGAAGACAGTGGCACTCCGGGTGTGATTGGAAGGATGAGTGGGATGAGTGCTGTCATTATGATGGGATATGTAGTTAGAGAAATGTAAAATGGAGTCAGACAGATTCTGTGTGGAGATGATTTGAAAGACATTGGAATGTCTTTTTCTAAGTGCCATGAGAGTGTTTTCCTGAAGACCATTACAGCCAGGATCTAGATATCGTGAAGGCCAAATTGAGAGGCCCGTGGAAGGCTCAACATTCCAAGTTAGCTGAAGAAGAGATAAACAACACCTGGACTCTCATGGGAATAAGGAGAGGAGAGAGGTGATACAACTTCTTAAGGTTAATTGGTTAACAGCTTTGAGGGCCATGAAGAAGGGAGGAGTTAGGAGAATGTAGAAAAATGGACAGTGGGTTATATGGAGGTATCTGACTGAAAGTAACGGAATGTGATTCTGATGGTTCCTGTGTTGTTCTGTGATGAATTCAATTCCATGAAGGAGAGAGGATGTCAGTAAGGAGACAGAAGGGGGTGGGGCTAGCCCATCATAGCCCACCTTAATTAGCTTTTTAGTGTTTTTTATTTTTAATGGGGAATAGTTATCTTATTTAACTGCAATGATCTTTGAATGTGTTCTTGATGCTAATGCTTATGCAATATAAACTGATTTCTAATGAAACTCTATTTTTCTAATAAAAATTAATTATAAAACATTCTACTAAAGGACTGGTCTCTTGAACAGCAGGGTCTGGCTAAATCCAGGAAGTGGAGAGGGCCACAAACTAGCTATCATTTAAGAGTCCTACCTAACTGAGCTTTAGTGAGTTCCAAGGACTCACAAAGCCCGTGTGCCTGTACTTACAAAGTACTAAGTAAGTGCAAAGTGTTCTTTTTAGGTCAGACTTGTTCAAAGGGCTTATGCTACGCACTGCTAAGGTCTTGGGACTTGCCCCAGTGCAAAGGTGGTAGATAAGTGCCTGTTGAGCTCTCTGACCAAATGCCCAACGGCCCTTTAGGGGGGTCCGGTGCATCATAAGTGCCACGGCAGGATGCGTGAGTGGACGGTTTGGCCCCAGGGACGGACCCTTGTTAAGTTTAGTTGCAAGGGTTCAGTATGCGAATACCCCCATCTCTAAACTGGACATATTTAGCTTCAAGAAAAGAAGATTGAGGGCAGATATGACAGCACTTTTCAAGGTTTCCACATTTTGGACCTGCTGTAGTCTCCGGATCAAGTCCAAGGGCAGCCCCACATAGAGAGCACTGCAGTAGTCATACTGAGGGGGGCAGGATCTTTTTTTGATCATTCCAGAGTGCAGGATGCTTAATAACAGGCTCCAGCTAGAGGAAGCCAGATTTAGGCTGAATATCAGGGAAAACATCTGAACTGTCAGAGCAGGACAGCAATGGAACCAATTACTTTGGGAAGTGGCAAGTGCTCCAATGCTGGAAGCATTCAAGAGAAAATCAGACAGCCATTTGTCAGATTGCTTTGATTTGGATTCCGGCATTGAGCAGAGGGTTGGACTTGATGGCCTTAAGGTCAGCAGAAGAGTTATTTCAGCCCCTACATTTCTTATTTACTCACCTGCCGTCCTTTCAGTCCAGAAACGCCTGGAACTCCCATGTTACCTTTTGCACCCTAAACAAACAAACAAGAAAACAAAATGTTAGAAGAGCATATTTTGCAACTTACTCCTTATAATAAAATGGCAATCTCAGTAGTTATAGTGACCAATATGTCTATGTTAGGCAGTACCTCAGAGATAAAAAAAAACAAATAAAAAATCTTAAAGAAAGCCTTAATCCAATCTAAAGAAGGAACATGACCAGGCTTTCTCCTTCCCTTCCCTCTCTGCTCCCCAGAATGTAATGTATTCTGGGAGTCACAGCCAGTGGCCAGTAAGGGCAAGGGAGCCATGAGTAAAAAGAAAAAAGAAAAAGAAAAAAAGGAACTTCTGGAATAGGCAATTATGACAATCTGTGTCATGTTTGGTTTTAAGAGCCTGCAAGCAGGGCAGTTAGCAACTTCTGAACTGCTCTGCTTTTGGGCCTTTACAAAATATCTCGTCAATCCTTTATGAAGACTCCTGATCTCTCTCATAAAAGGCAGAAGTCTGTTTCTTATTCTGCTTTTTTAGGGTACAGTAAATGCTGCTAGATCTTGGAAAAGGAAAACAACATACAAAAAGCTTTTATTTTTTTAAAAAAGCAAAAGGACACTTTCAGCACAATCTTATACAGGCTTACTCAGAAGGCAAGTGCCACAAGTCCAAAGTCCTCATTGTGTTTTATAACTGTGTAAGGGAAACTGGGTATGGTATAGACCAGTGGTTCTTAACCTTGGGTTACCCTGGTGCTTTTGAACTGCAACTCCCAGAAATCCCAGCCAGCACAGCTGGTGGTGAAGGCTTCTGGGAGCTGCAGTCCAAAAACACCTGGGTAACCCAAGGTTAAGAACCACTGGTATAGACCCCTCGGGCATGCTCCCCTTCATGTCACACTTGCAGGAGATGTTTCACAATGCTACAGGGAAGCCTGCCAAGGGGGTTACCCGACTGCCCTTATAGGGCAACATAAGCAAACAAGATTCTGGGCACTGCTTTGGAGTAAAAATAGAGTTGTAGCCTCAGAATGAGAGCTTTTCATGTTGCTCTTGCTAAAGTGCCTCCAAGTACAGTTCTATGTACAACACATGGTAAATTCATTCTGATTAGTGACTCACGTCTTCCTAGCATTCTACATTCAGCCAAAGGGATCTCAAATAAAGGAAAGACATTAATCCGAAAGAAGGTACAATTAGAGAGGACAACAGACACCTGCTCTTCTTTATGCAACCCTCTAAACATACAATTTTTGTATTCTTCCCTATAAAATGAATCCCAACACATGTTCTGTCCCCTTACAGAATATCCTAGCTGGTTTTCTTTCTCAGCTCATGAAATATTATCCAAGGTCATAATGTCTTTCCATAGAGTGCACCCCATTGTATTACATTAGATTACATTATTATTTCCAAATAAGGTAAAAGTCACCCCCCTTCCCATATCTTTGAGAGGAAAAGTAAAGAGATTTCTTCCTCTATCTCTTTTCCTATTCATTATATTTAACCATTTACTGTGCTATTACTTTATATATCTTAATCTGTATGTCATGTTTGGAGGAGGATTTTTAGGTTGTGAGGAAGCTAACAGGTATTATTTCAAATGGTGCCGTTCACTTACCTTTTGTCCTCTAAAGCCTTTTGGACCAGGTGGGCCTGCAATTTCTAGGCAGCTCATTTTGTAACACTGAAACCAATCAGAATGAAAATTAGATTATACGTACCGCCTGTGGACTATTTGGTTCAGCCCAGTGGGTGGGGGAATCTTAGGAACGGACTGTGATTCAAGAATTGAGCTGAACAAGAGCAGGAGAGCTGGAAAGATAGGAAGTGCTGTTTCCCTGGAGGTGGATAAGGCCCTTGCCACCTTGGTTTAGGAAGTCAACATGTTGTATAGGAGGGGCACTAAAGGGGGGGGAATCCACACAGTGATAATTATGTATTTACATTTGCATCTGCAGTTTATTTTAGGGCTTAAGAGACTTTGAGCCTATACCTTTATGATGTGGATTTCCTACCTCAGTTAATAAATGTATCTGGGACTTTGTTTTTATTTGGCTTCAAAGAGATATTTACATTGTATTCTTGAAAGCTTTCACGGCCAGGATCCGTTGCTGTAGGTTTTTCGGGCCATTTGGCCGTGTTCTGGAGGTTTTTCTTCCTAACGTTTCCCCAGTCTCTGTGGCTGGCATCTTCACAGGAACACAGACAGAGTTCTAACTCCTGTCCTCTGAAGACGCCGGCCACAGAGACTGGTGAAATGTTCAGAAGAAAAACCTCCAGAACATGGCCAAATGGCTCGAAAAACCTACAACAACCAGATATTTACTTTCTTTCTTGTTTCTTCAAACAGCTCCCACTCTGGGTCTGGTGAAAAGAACTTGGGGTGTACAAATTGTAGCACCCAGCTTTGGACTGTGCTATATCACCGTTCTCACTGTTTGTTTTATATGTATATGTACAAACATTTTTGTAAAATCTGTGTCTGCAATTCTCTTTCCCTCTCTGTGTATATAATACCACATATATATTCAGATTCAGAACCAGAGAGTGTTATATATACTTTTATAGTTAAGGTACTTGCCAGTTTCTATTTATACTGCCACAAAACCAGCATTGGAACTACAGGGAAAAGTGACATTTAAATGGCAGACCAAGGCCACAACTACACTCAGGAAAAAATAACAACTTTTGTTGCTGCACCTGATGCTATACACCTATGTGTGTATTTTAAAACTGAAATACTGTAGGGCTTGTTTCACTGATTGATTAGCACTCGAAGGCTTCTTGGCTACTAACAGTGTCAGGGAAGGGGCAGGAAAATCTTTGCCTGTTCAGCATGCAGTGGAGCTGCCCTTTCCAGGCAAGAACACCACAATCAGCCAGGCAGTGCTGGGAAGCTTCTCGGCCACGTTGGCATTGGTCTGCTGACAACGTTGTTCTCGCTGGGTCGGCAGGGACAGGGAAGTCCAGTGGTTTCAGTTTTGCTTCATGACATGCAGATGAGCTGCTGCCCCAACTCTGGCAAGGTCAGTAGGTAAGAAGCCTCCCAGCACTGGTGGGCCAAGTGCTTGCTCCACATATTCTGCTTTAGTGCAAGGAATCACCCTAAAACAGGACATATGCTTTCTATGGTTATCCACTTGTTTGGAGATAATCCGCAGCCGAAAGTTTAACGTGAATTATCTGCAAAGGTGTAGTTCCTCCACAAATCTAGACAGTTCCCATGCTGCAGATGGAATGGTTCTAAGTTTCTGCTCCTGGTGTGTCATATTACGTAGAGAATGCTCCCATGCACTTGCAAGCATTCCCCCCCCCCGATTAAATGGGTACCTATTGCTCAAAGCAGTATTGGTAAAGAAGTCTATAACAGGCTGATCCATACTTAAGTCTGATCATATGGATTTTTTAGACACATTTGTAGTCCAGTTCTATAGGATTTGCTCAATGAGTCAAAACTGGGCAAACTTAGAAGTGGACAGCACTTTCATTTCCCACTGAGTCACATTCCTCAGAGCTGTGTGCTTGAATAATCAGACTTCCAAATTAAGCCAGTTTTTACCTGCAATGATCAATCATGAAACAAGCAAGTTAATTTGCTAGACGGAGAGGATAGAAAACCTACAGTAAACATATGCCTTGAGAGCTCTGCTTAACATTTTGTCTAGTTTAATTTGAAGTGTGTATGGGCAGCACTCCTTTGAAACCTAGGGCTACAGAAATCTAGAAGTGTGCAGTTTTTCACAGCACCTAGAATGTTGCTACTTGCAAGTAACCTAAGAAGGTACTTACCTCTCCGTAGGCTTCATGTTTCTGTTGGGGAAAGAAATTTAGTTGTGTTATTCACAGGAAGAAGACAACTGAAGGAAAACATATATCCATATGGCAGACACACTGTACACAGAACTTCTGACATAGAACTTGTAGGCGACTGAGGCATTACATTACCCCACTTTTCAAAGCAAGTATTCAGGCCTTTTGGCTGCACAGAAGTGCTTGTGTGGACACCTGCTGACAATTGATTTGTGAGGGAGTGGAGATGATTGGATAAGAATGGAGGGTATCCACTCTTGTTGACTTCCTTGTTCCTTTTTGCCAACAAGCACCAATCTTCACTTTGCCTTTTGCTACTACAGTCTTTGCCAGGAAATCTAAATGAGGTGCCCCTACCCAGTGGAAAAATGTTTATGGAGCTGCTGTGAAACTGCACCCGGGAAGTGGAATTTCCTTGAGTTAATTTGCTTCAACCAACCACATAGGAATCAGCAAAGAGAGAGGAGAAAAAAAGTCTCATTTTTAGCTTGCTGGCTATTGGAATCCTCTTGAAAAAGGTGAGTTGTGGAAAAAAATTATCTGAAGCCAACCTCAGTTTCAATCCCCGGCATGATAAGTTTGGAAAAGGTGTCTGCCCAAGAACTTGGAGAGTCAGTACTACAGGTATTCAGGGAAAACAGGCTTAGGGGCTAGTCTATTCAATTTGTACAGTTTAGTTTGTGCAGAATTTTAAGTTTTTGAAGTACAGATTTACCCAGACCTGCACATACTTTTACTGGGATGAGTTCTGCTTTCACAAAAACTACAATATTTACATGACGTCAACAAAAGCCAGTATTCCAGTTTTGCTCACTATATAGCAGAAAAACATTTGAAAAATGAATTCAATTAGGATAATGAGTCACTTCTGAATGTTCATGTGAATGAACAAGCACACCCATGCCCACTGAAAATGATTCAGATGTTCTATGGAAAATTCTGTAATGATTCTAAATGGCAAAATTTAGATGTCTGAAATGCTGGTTTCTTAGGAGGCATAACACATTTCTAATCTTTCTCTATTTAGAGCAAGACCCTTTGATGTGGTTTTAATTACAGTGGGGTCTCTACTTAAGAACGTCCCTACTTAAGAACAATCCAACTTAAGAACAGCTCCATTTGCTAAATTTTGCTTCTGCTTGAGAACAGAAATCCAAGATAAGAACAGGAAAAAAAACCTTTCCTGCTCTTTTTTTAACCTTAGGTCATCTGAGGTTAAAAAATAATTCTTCCCCTAGTGGTAGAGTACGTATTAACCAGCTTTGCATTAGTTCCTATGGGAACTAATCCTTCAATGTACGAATGCACCTCTACATAACAAAAAAACAGCCAGAATGGATTAATTGGTTTTCAGTCCATTCCTATGGGAAATTTTGCTTCAACTTAAGAATGTTTCAACTTAAGAACACCATTCCAAAACGGATTAAGTTCTTAAGTAGAGATTCCACTGTAGTTTCTATGGACGGAAAAGAGCAGATACGGATTAAATGGTTTTCAATGCATTCCTATGGGAAACGCAGATTCAACATAAGAATTTTTCAACTTGAGAACCACCTTCCAATACGGATTAAGTTCTTAAGTAGAGACCCCACTGTAATGTGGATACTCTTCCAACAGCAAAAGCTTTCAGAGATACAATATGGATAAAATAGGGAGGAAAAGAAGAAAAGGAAGGCTAGTTATCATGGAACACAATAAGACCAATCTTCTTATTCAGTGTGCCATAATCATGGGGATAGGCAAGGTTTTTGCCGTTTCCAGTCGTCACATTAGTCTTCCTGGGTTGTGCACACTTTTTCTTGAAGAGTAAGCTTTGCATCAGAATAGTACAGTCAGGAAACTCAAAGAAGGGTTACAACACAACGGAGATAGCCTTCTTCCTTCCTGGCATTTCAGCAGGATAGTTTTTGTACATGTTGACTTATTATGGAGAATCACCAAATTCATTTTAGCTTCCACACTTTAGAATTAACATGACATGATTCTGGAAAGGAATAGGTGTTGGCTGGAAGTGGTGGTGGGAGGAGTAATCAACTGGTGTTCATATAGTATTTTTTTCCTTCTACCACCTCAGAAATGTGTTACAGTATTTTTGCTGGGGATCACATTGATAAAGCTCAAGGCCTAAATTGCTATTCTTTTGAATTAGGTACATTAAGCTATTTGCCCAGAAATGTTCAGTGTTCTGCTATATTTCTTTTGAACATATATGGCAAGCATACAAATTGGATTTTAAAGTGACTAAGGCAGAAACATAACATTATAAGAGAAGTTATCAGAAGTAATGAGATGAATTATCTGCCAGCACGTTCATGACCAGAAAAATATATACATATGAGACTTTTGTTGCCCTTAACTAAAAATTCCCACTCCTTGTTAGGGGGTACTGCATGCAATGCAACTCCTAAAACAGAACTGAGGACTTCTAGACATAATGCAAAGCTGATAAACTACAGATGCTTCTGTTTGAATCATGGCTGTGTTGCTTCCAGTTACAATTCCAATAAATAATAATATCAAATTAAGGTCTTCTTTACCCTTTTATTATGCTTAAATTAATTCTATTTTACTTCATTTTTACTTTTTTTTTAAACAATGGAATATCCTTAAACCTCTTTGGCAACTCCCATAATCCCTAATGTAAGTCACGCTGGGTAGAGATGATGGGACTTGTAGGCTGAAGGGTTTCCACCCTATGGGACTAACTAAGCTTTATTAACCGTCTGCATTTTGTTCACTAGTTTTCTAAATGCTGCCCCTCCAAAAGAATCTGAATTATTTCTCCTTCTCCTTGGTATAATGATAAAAAAAAAAAGAATATCACATCCTGTGGCAAAAATAAAAGACTTACCATAACTTGGATGATCCTATCAATGGTGTCAACATCTATATCGATGGAATCTTTCTTGGTAGTGGAATAATTATTACGGTATAGCTCATGTGGGGAGTTGGCAATTTCTCGAAGGCCCTGTTCATAGATATTCTCACTGGGGGCCACCACAAAGAGCTTGATTCCTGCGTCACGTGCTCTTTCAGCCTGTAACTTCATTCCTCCACAGGGGCTCCCTGTTACATGGCCGTCAGTGATCACTACTGCATAATTCACCCCGGGAGATGTATTGGCAAGTATTTGGGCTGTCATGTTGGAGAGGGCACAATCTGTGAAAGTACCCCGGCCAATATACTGAATGCCCTTCAACTTATCAAGGTATAACTCCTTGCTGTTAGTGAAATCACTGTAGAATATGACCACATCTGAATAGTGAAGTCCTGCAAATTGCCAGGTGATGGACACTTGGCTCTGGTAGAGTTCATTCTCCAGCCTAGCGATGAATTCAGGGATAAAACTCTTGATGTGGTTCACCAGGCTCTGGATGGGCACAGTCTGCAGGGCAATACTCTCAGACGTGTCAATCACAAAGTACACTCTGATAGGACAGTCCGTTTTGTCTGTATGGAGAGAAAGCAAGGAAGAATGATCACTTGATCCAGCCACGACAGTAGCACCTGGGTTTCCACGTGTCATGGTGTAGCCGATGACCCTGGAGCTTGTGCTCATTTGCATGGCATCGGCACCGTAGCCAAAGGTGGAGTTAAGAATCAAACCCACAGTTTTTATGGGGTCATTTGTTTCTTCTTGAACATCTGGCAGGTGGCTCTTTATTTTGCACTGATGCAGCTAGCTTCCTTTATTTTCCTTTTCTGCCATGTGTGCTCACCTGTCCTGGTATAAATCCTACAATGATATCTCTAGTGGAGTACGGTATGCCACTATCTGTCTGTCTGTCTGTCTGTCTGGGTATGCCACTGTCTGTCTGTCTGTCTGTCTGTCTAAAAATATATTTTTACACCATCTTTCTCCTTAAAAAAGACCCAAAGTGGTTCACATCATTAAACAACAATATTTAAAGCTAGAAACAGTAAGTATTTATTTATTTAACTTATATCCCGCCCATCTGGTATATCATACCATGTATAATGAAAGGATCAAGCAGACACACATACAAAATCGTAAACAAAAGCAACACTAAAAACACATTCAAAGCAGTAACACAACAATCCATTAAAAAAAAACAACCCCAGTTAGGTAGCCAGTCACTAAAAAGCTTGCCTGCAAAGAAAGATCTTCATCTGCTTGAGGAAAGATAGCAAAGATGGGGCCGTATTGGCCTCCTGTGGGAAGGAGTTCCTAAGTCTGGAAGAGCAACAGAGAAGGCTCTCTCCTGTATCTCCAAGAGATGCACATATGAAGTCAGTGGTACTGAGAGAAAGGCCCCTCCTGATGATCTCAACACCTGAGTAGACTCATAAAGGGAGTTGCAGTCCTTGATATAGCTTGGGCTCAAGCCATTTAGGACTCTATAGGTTACAGCTAGCACTTTGAATTGTGCCCGGAAATGAATTGGCAGCCAGTGGAGCTGCCATAAGAGGGTGGTTGTGTGATCCCTGTGACCAACCCCAGTTAATTTATTTTATTTATTTATTTATTTTATTTATACCCTGCCTATCTGTTCAAAATGACCACTCTAGGCAGCTTCCAGACATATAAACACAATAAAATGTACATATAACAAAAAACCAATATACTATACACAATTTGGTTGCTGTAACAATTTGGTTGCTGTCCCTGTTCCTTGAAAAAGTTTCCAGACAGTATCCAGAGGCAGTCCCATGTACAAGATGTTCCTGCAATCCAGCCAAGATGTAACTAAGTCATGTGTCACCATGACCAAACCGGACCTGGTGCAACAGGCATACTGGTTTTCATTGTGGAAATGCACTCCTGGTCACTGCCAAAACCTGGGCTCAGGTTTGGAGCTGATTCCAGGAAAAACCCCAGCTGTGCACCTGTGTTTCCAGTGGAAGTGTAACCCCATCCAGCATAGGCTGCATCCCTGTTCCTTGATCTGACTTTCAACTGACCAGGAGCACCTTTGTCTTTTCTGGATGAAGGTTCAGTTTATTCATGCTCATCCAGTCCATTACTGACGTCAGACACTGATCCAGAACTGAAACAGCATCCTTGGATTTAGGTGGAAAGGAGAGTGAGAGTTGGATTAGAGTGGAATGACCTGTTGTCTTTCCTTTGAACAATTTTTCTATTGTTGAAAGCCTTGGAAGAAACTCCATGTTTATTGGCTTCTCCTCCCCTCCCTTGCTACAATCCGAATGCTTAAATAGGAACCAGATCTATGTGCTTTGGAAAGGGGAAAGGTAGGGGCTTGAGGAATGTATCTGTCAATTTTCCAGCTGACATTTGGCAAATCAGCTTGTTTAAAAGGGCCAGGGGGGTTAGAAGAGAACAACAGAAAGATGAAATCGACAAAGCCTCATGGGCAGACCCACGTAGATAGCATTACAGTAGTCTATTTTTGAGACTACCAGTGCATGAACCAGCATGGTAGGGGACCCAGTGTCAAGGTAGGGACACAGATGGGCAATCTTCCTGAGGTTCCATTGATAGCGCTGAGTCCAGTAGTGCACCCAAGCTCCAAACCTCATCCTTAGCAGAGAGAGTAGCCCCCCCCAAAGGAGAGGGAGGAACTCAATCCACACACAGTAGGGGCCCCAACCCGCAGGATCTCCATCTTGTCTGGGTTCAGCCTCAGTCTATTATCCCTCATCCACCACAGCAAGGCATCCAGGCAGTGCTCAAGGGGCAGGACAGCATCCTCTGCAGAAGGATGGAAGTAGAGATAGAGCTGGGTGCCATTCCGCGTATTGGTGACACAAAGCACCCAAGCTACCGATGACCTCCCCCAGGGGCCTCATTTAGATATTAAACAGCATTGAGGAGATAATTGACCCCTGAAGGACTCCAAAGTCAAGAGTCCAAGGGGTGAACATCATCTTGCCAAGCTGTACTCTCTGAGGACGGTCCTGAAGGAAGAATAGGAGCCAGGCCAAAGCCAGGTCAACGGTCCTCAGCCCAGAGAGCCGCCCCAGGAGGATAGTGTGGCCAACACTACTGAAGGTCGCTAATAGGTTGAGGAGGACCAGCATGAACATTTTGCCCCTGTCAGTCTAACTCAAAAGGTCATCTTGCAGGGCAACCAATGCCATCTCCATGCCATGGTGCGGCCTGGCACTGGACTGGAATGGATCAAGGGCATCGGTCTCCTCCAGGAGTGCCTGAAGCTGATTAGCTGCCACTGTCTCCACTAGCTTGCTGAGGAGGGAACACTGGCGACGGGTCGATAGTTGTTTAGATCATCCGCTGGAAAGTTAGGCTTTTAATGGATAGGTTTGATAAGTCTTTCCTTGAGGACTCGGGGAACCCTGCCCTCAAGGAGAGACACATTAATAATAGCTATAGCTCATTCTGTTGTTACCGGCCTGGCCGCTTTTATGAGCCAGACTAGGCAAGGATCTAGGGAGGTGGCAGTGGCCCTACAATGCTCAAGCACCCTGTCCACCTCTGCCGACATCACAGGCTGAAAACATGTTAAACTCATCAATTTCTGCCAAGTTCTTCTGCCCGTCTAACTTGGTCCTCTCAAGCCTCATGTCTGCAGGTGTTAACATGCTGAGAAGCCTGTTAGACATCATCAAGGAATAGGGCTTAGTGAGTGCAGTGGATGTCTCAACTTGATCTACTGGAGAAGAAGGGTGGTCAAGATCCCGGCAAATGGCCTCCTCTTTATGTTTAAAGAAGGCTGCAGACTGGTTACAGGAGATACTACTGTGAGGCCTGTCACTATGACCAACCCTGGATAAATTGCACACTGTACAAAAGAGTTCAGCCTGATGGTTTTTAGCTTCGCTCATCTGGGTAGCGAAGTATGTTCTCCTAGTGGCTTTGTGAACTATGTGAAGGACTTTCTTTTCTTATCATACAACTACTGCCAATAATTATAACTGATTGATTTTGAGCTCCATTGTTGTAAGACCAGGAGGAAAAAGAATGGTTCATTTAAAATGAATGATTATGCTCTATCATAAGTATAGTATCTATCTCTACTTCACGCATCAACTGTTTTTATAAACTAAACAGTGCCAAATGTTTTAGCTTTTGCCTGGAGGAGAAGAGTTCCAGCACAAGCATCTTTTTTTACCCATCTTTTGATGATATGCAGCCCTGCATCTCCTTTAATACACCTGTAAGTGGATGCCATCCAGTACCTTGAACATTGCCTGGCTGCAATACTGGACCAGACGAAGATGAATGGGTTGAAACTGAAGCCAATCAAGATGGAGATCTTGTTGTGGGAGGGCACCTGCCTTCTTGTTTGGGAGGAAAATCTCTCCTAAATTGGATGGATTCTCCCTCCCTATTAAGGATCAGATGCACAGTTTGAGTGTAAGTTTGGACCTGGTGTGACCAGGGAACAACAGGTCTCCACGGTGGTCAGTTCTGCTCCCCCCCCCCAGCTTTGGCAAATTGCCTAACTGCATCTCTATCTGAATGATGGATCCCTAACAACATTGGTTTATGAACTAGTAATCTCAAACTTTGACTACTGTAATGCAGTCTGCATGGGGTTTCCCTTGAAGCTGCTGCTGCTGAAGCTTCAGGTGGTCCAGAATGCGGCGCTCAGGCTAATTGCTGGGGTGAGGAAATTTGACCATATCACTCCAATCCTATTCCGCCTGCACTTGTTACTGGGCTGCTTCCATGCCAGGTTCAAGATTCTGGTAAAGTACTAACATATAAAGCCCAAAACAATTTGAGACCTTGCTACTTGTCTGAACCTCTTCTGTAGAGCCTTGTGGCGCAGCAGTTAAAATGCTGCACTGCAGCCAGCACTGTGCTCACGACACGGGGTTCACTCCCAGGTAGCCGGCTCAAGATTGACCCAGCCTTCCATCCTTCTGAGGTCAGTAAAATGAATACCCAGCTCACAGGGGTGTGTGTGCAATGTGTAGCCTACATAATTAACTTCTAAATCACCCTGAGAGTGCTTGAAGCGCTATGGGGTGGTATATAATCAGCGTACTTATTTCTGCCAAGTTCTTCTGCCCATCTAACTTGGTGCTCTCAAGCCTCATGTCTGCAGCTGTTAACATGCTGAGAAACCTGTTAGACATCATCAAGGAATAGGGCTTTCTCCGCATTGGCACTCTTCCTTTGGAGGGTCCTCCTGCAGCAAATACGCCAGGCACCCTCCTTTCAGACCATTAAAAAGCTCCTGAAAATGGAACTTTTAAGAGAAGAGCTTGGAGAGAACCTCTTCAGTAATGGGAAAGGGGAGGAAAGAAGAAAAGGAAAGAATAACAATTAGGATGTCTTATTGTCTATTAACGACTTCTGCTGTTCTGTTGTTATAGCTATTTATAGCATTTGTTCGTAGTAAACAAACAAGCAAGCAAATAAATCTTCAATGTTGATTATCACTAATCCCTTTCCTAGTGATGAAGTGAAAAAAGGAGAAGGAAGTAGGCTGCAGTTCTTAAATTAGGCTTTTACCTGCGCAGAGAGAAGTTCCAGGAACCACATCTTCACTGTTTTGAGCATACAGGGGTGTCAGAGTTGTGCAGAGCATAAAAGCTAAAAAAGCTTCTGGAAACATCTCAGCAACTGTACCATTCAATTCAAGTCCTGTCAGAATCAGAAACGTTGTAACATTTCAGTAGACTCTTGCTTTATTTTCAGGCATTTTTGTGTGAATAAATCTGAAGGAGCACCCTCAGTTTCACCCTAAATAAGGAGAGTGTGTCTCTTTTTATACAATTGACATCTGAGAATGGATTTCCCCCACTCAGGGTGAATTTAATCAAGCAGGCTATCTCTGGCTGTTCCATGAATCCACCAAAGTTTTCCTGAGGGAAAAAGTGACTATGCCTGAAGTATTCAGATGCTATGGCGGCTTTGCCAGATAGAGCTGCCCATGTATTGATGAGAAGAAACAACCCAAAGGTGGTGTGCAGGAGATCAGTACCCTTGGAGATACAAAAAAATAGCCCGCGTGTAGGTGAGCTCACTATTATCCAGCTGTTGCTATTAAAATCCATTTTCCTCTTAGTTATTAAGATAGTTTGAAAAGCAATACATACTAGGAACAAGCAGGGGAACATCTTACCCTAATATTTCAGATGGTTACCTCCAGATCCAGCTGCAAGGTAGAATCATATTGCTTAGTTACACTAATATAAGTGCAATGGTATAAACTGCATCAGAGTTGCAGATACGTAGTTACCAAGTTGCTACTTGTATACCCTGTTCAAGAGTTATGAGTTTGTGCAAAACTAGGAACACAAGTGGCAACTGGTTAACCAGCAGCAGTTTCCTGCTGTGATTTTTGCCACTCCACTTATGCTGGTTCAACCAGCCAAGATGATTCTGGCCAGAACACTAAGACTTCTAAGTAGAGATGGGGGTATTCACATTTGTATAGTTGGAGTTAAAAAGGGTCCGGCATTAATGAGGGCGCCTGGGGCCGGACCATCCACTCACACATCCGGCAATGGCAGTGGTGGCCCCTCTCTTCCTTCCAATCACTCCGGACTGCCGCTCAGCTAGCCCCTCGACAGCCTTTCAGGGAAACTCATCCTCCCTCTCTCTGCCAGGAGTGGCTAGACAACCAGGAAGAGAATGGCGTTCGGGAGCGATTGGGAAGGAGGAGTGGGGCCAGCGGTGGCGGCGGACGTGTGAGTGGATGGTCCAGCCCCAGGGGCGGGACCCTCATTAACTCCAGCCGTGCGGGGATATTCATATTTGTATACAAATACGAATGCCCCCATCTGTACTTCTAAGTAGTATTTGGCACATTATGACATTTTAATCCTAAGGATTTGGTGCTTTCTTTGTACTTTCCATCTGGCCAGGAATTTCTGCTAGCCTGGCTGGAAGATCTAAGTGAGAAAAACCAGACAACCTTTTCACATTTTAAGGGTCTAGTCACACAGCCAAAAACCTGGGATTTGACCTGTGTTAAAAACTGTGCTGAGTTTCAGATTCACACAATGAATTCCAAAGTGCACATTTATGATCCTCTTGAGCTGCATTATTTTCTTAGTAAGCAAGTCAAAAGAAATGGCCACCAGAGGGCCTGATCCCCCAAACTGCACTACAGTGCCAAACTGCAGTAGGTGTCCATCTGTAGTGGGAACATTCAGTTATGTGAGCGGTATCCCCCAGGCACCCTGAAGTGGGTACAGTTCAGACACAGTCCTTGACATTTAGCCTTTCTCCTCTGGAAGTGAACTTGAATACTTGCTGCAGTTCTATCAGCGATCTCTGCACAACTGAATGGAGACTTGAAATGTAATCCAAACATTTGAACCCGACCATATCCTCTTTTAACAAACTTACCTACAAAGATTGTTTAGAAAGTGGAAATAACACAAATAAGACTGGCTGCAGTGAGAGAAGGTGAGAGACAGCTGGTTGGTATAATCCAGAAAAAGTTAACATCCTTTCATCACTTGCCCAACTAATTTCAACAGAAGTTAATAAATTCCAATAAAACAGAACAGGCAGAAAAAATAAATGCAGTACCTTTACATTTGATTTTGTGGATATGAATATATTTTGCTTGGTATAAGGGAGAAATAACAGAATGGATACTTCAGAATGATCACAACATTTGCAATCCTAATCCAAATCATTTTCACTTGAAACCAACAATAACTCATTTTAAAGCACAGGAAAAGAAGGCCTATTTGCAGACCTATACTTAGAACCCTCTGAAAACAAAGTACAGTACATTTTAACCATCTACAAGGAAGCCTTAAAAAGATGCAAGGACTAGAGATGAAAAGTATGTGAACTAAAAAAGCAATGATGAGAATGTGTTTTATGCAATGGAATGTGCCTGGCTTGGCTTCTCAAGGGTTAAAAACTGATGAGTCCCACTCCTCCCTCTTCTCTTTCACCCTTGACATTCTTTCACACCCTCCTCTGTCTCTGTCTACCTTGGCACTCACTCATTCTGCTTGTACCATTTCAACAGATGAGTTCAACAAATGCCTACAGTCCCATTCATCCTATCCACGCTCTCTGCCTCCACCCCACAGCATTGCTTTCTTTCTTTATTCCCTAACTCTAATGATTTTTCACATTGCTCTCATCCTTTCCTTCCCTCTACATGAGTACTACTCACAGTAACCAGGACACCGCCTAGTATGTACATACAGGGCAGAAATATACGTACTCGAACCTCTCTGAACGACTATCCTCCAAATCCCCAGCACAGCCAGATGAGCTGTAAATTGCCCAATGATTTAAGTTAGGACATCAATATTATCTGTGTGAAATGTTGTATTCCTAGCTCTTAGTGTTCTGGTAAGAGGGCTCCCAAAATCTCCCAGTCAGCATGGCCAGTTAAAACATAACCTGTGCATTGATTTACATGCGAAACAAGTAATACGTTGCAAAGTTGTAAGTTTTTGGTTAAATTCCTCTAGCTGTGCAGCAGAAATGCAAGGATCCACACAGCAGAAAAGCTTCAAGTTCCCTAGATTAGTTCACCCCTTTTCTCATTAACTTGGATTTATAATCTTAATAACTCACTCTGAGACATTAGTTGGAGAAAACAATTCTTTACAGTTGTGAACAGATCAAATAGCAAACTAACCAACATGGCTGATTTCTAGCAACAGACTTCAACAGACTCTAGAGAAGGGAAAAGCAATTGAGCCAAGAGGAGGGGCTCTCTTTGAATTCAGAGGGTGGAGGGAACAAAAAGTTACTGCTGAATAGACTGACAGTCAGTCTAGCTCAGATAGTTCTTTGCAGCCAAACCTGTTAAATGCAGCATATGAGGTTGCAAAAACACCAACATAATATTCACTGAAAAATTCCTAGTTTCTGGTTCTTAATTGTTTCAGCAAAAAGACTATAATTCCCAGAATATCTTAACCACCACTGCCAGTTAAGACCTAAGCTAACCATTTACTTAAGCTGGGGCAACAATAGTGGCCAAGCAAAATTTCACATTCCTTCAGTAAGTGGACTACAGATTAGCATGTAAGGTTTCTAGCTTCCATCCCTATGCAGCCAGAATGGCCAGTCTGCACATAACCTGTTCAGTGATTTATGTTTGGAAATCAGTACTACCCGTAGAAAACTTCACAATCCTCACTTTTATCATTTCAGTAAGAGGACTACAACACCCAGAATCCTGCAACCTGCAGAGTCGGTTGAGCTACAGCCTAGCCAGCTACTTTACTTGGGACATGAGTAGGGCCTGTGGAAACATTCTTATTTCTACCTCTTACTGTTTTAGAGATCTTTTGAGACAAATGTTGGTTTTATTTATAAAACGTACTTTAAAAATGTTAACCATTTTTTTACTATTTGGCTAAAAAGGCTCCCAGAGCAGCTTGCAAAATGAGTACGTCTTTACAGGTTACAATCTTTAAAAAAAATGAAACAGAAAGAAAACAAATTGGGAGGAAGGAAGGAAAAGTGCCAAGGGGGTGGCCATGGGTTCCATAGTCCTGGTCGGTGGGAATGTGCCTTTGAGCATTAGATTGCGCTCATGTTTGTGCTGCATATATTCTTTCGGGCTTGAATGCTCTTCATTTTTTTTTTGTCCTTCTGTTTACTTCCTTCCCCCCGCTTGCCCTCTTGCTTTCTGTTCATGAGAGGGGTACCTGGGGCCCTCCAGATGTTTATTTCTCACAACTCCCATCAGCCTTAGCCAGCAGAGCCAATGACACTGAAGCCCCATGGGAATTGCAGTCCAAAAAACATCTGGAGAGGTCTTTCACTTCTGCCTCCACCAGAATCGACCTCTCCTGTCAGGGCAGGAAGGTATTCACAGTAAGAACTTCCAAGGAAACACCTTTCAGTCTCTGTTCCTTTGACTTTCCCCTGCTTTCCACTGGAACAGATTAATGATATGTTCAGCGCTTGGACAAACCAAGAGCTTCCCCCAAACCCCTTGCTGATTGTTTATAGTCAAAATGTAACTAATATAAGTTCTGGACTTTTTGCAAGCAAAACTGAGTTAGTGGGCCACTTATAAGGACTTGGCCCTCCTTAAACCTCGAAACATGGGTGTATCAGAGCAGCTTGCACACAGCCGGTTGCCCCTACAGATGGGAGCTTTGCAGTGCTGTCCCTGCTCCTCCTCCTTTGATTCGCTTAATCTGTGCACACTCTCTTGATGAGCCTTGGCACTAAAACAGACACAGCATTTCCAGGCCTGCATCTTGAAGGTTTGTTTTAGCCCCTGAAACCTCTGCATATAGATTGCACCAGATTCCCTAAATGGTATGCTTTATAGGCTGAGAAAACAATTTCCCCCAAGTTTATTTGGTGAAAAATACACTGCCCCAAGAGTGTGAGGGGATGAAATGTCACAGCAATGTAAGCCATAAAAAGGCCTCCATAGGCTCCCATATAGTTCTTATTGGCAAACCTCATGTTATAGTAGAATGCATGCATTTCTCTGCAAACTATTAATAGACACCTCAAATCAATAGTCTCCACTCAAGTTTTTATGCCAAGATCCAGCCTTGGGGCTTTTCCTTGACAGCAAAGCTGTGGCCTATAACTCTTCCCCTCCCTTGCCCCCCCCAAATTACACAAGCACTATTTCCAGCTTCTTGCTGCAGTTTTCACCTCTGTTTTTGTTTGCATGCTATTAAGCAACGGTTACTTTTTGCCTTTGTATGTGAGCGTTCTGTGCTGTTAAGTTAGAACTGACTTACAGTGACCCTAACAGGTCTCTTGAAATATTTAAGGAGTGGTTTTACCTATTCCACTCCCCCCCCTGAGTTTCCATGGCCAAGTGGGGAATCGAACCCTGTCCTCTCCAGTCCTAGTCTGTCACTCTAAATGAAACTTTTGCTATACTTTCAAGGTTAACCATCTGCTCTTAAAACTAGGCAAAATGTGTTCTGTTGCAAAGCTGGAAGCAGAATTTAGAGAAGTTACCTGTTCGGATTACAGTTCCCATAATAATTCAGCCTGCATGGCCACAGGAGATGTAATCCCTCCAAAACTAAATATTCCCAAAAGATTCCTAGCATTGTCTGAGATTACAGCCAAACACTAGGAAAGGAAGGAAAGCCTAATATGTGTGGAATGAGCCACGGCCATGGTTTCTTCACTATTTCACATCATCAGGAAAGGCCAAAGGAAGATGTGCCCCCTCCCCACACAAAACCTACACAAGCTCCTTCCCCATCCCCTCCGTTTTGGAGTGCTAGTCATATTCTGCCTCTCTTCCACTGAGATAAATTTGTGCATAAGCAGCTGGCTGAGTGTTCTCTAACAACTAAAAGAAACAAACCCAGATGTTTCATATGAGTGACTGTGGTGCTAAGTTCTGGAAAAAATTAACCCGGGGTCCACCTCTGGTAATCACAGTAAACTATTCCAAGATTCTAGGTTTAGTTCTAGTAAATTTGAATTTTAGTTTTAGTTCAGTAAAGTAGAATTCAGACAGCAACTTAAACCAGCCTCTGAACTTTGTGTTTAGTAAAAAGGTGAAAGAAGATAAAAGTTAGGACAGTGACATTAAAAGGAGAAAAGTGGTTGTTTTTCCCAATCCCATAACAAGCATGCAATAGAATTCCTGTAACCTGAATATTAGTATCTAAACTGTATGGGTTGGGCCGGTAGTGTTGTTTTTACAGCACATCATTTTTCAGCAGAGTTAGCCAAAAATATTTGGTGGCCCAGGAGGTGTCAAGAATGATCCAGTGACAACCTGTGCTAAAACAATCCCGTAGGTAGTAGATGTGGTTGTTAAACTCCCCTCACTCAGCAGGACGAATCACATTCCTGGCCCCATACCTAAATAAAAGCATTATCTCTCCCACCCTCCCCACTCAGTTTCGTTTTCCTTGAGCCACAACAAGAAGCAGAAAGCACAATCTTCTTTGGAATAACTTCTCTTTGGAAAGGTGCTTCATCTTTTCTTCTGATTTAACAACACAGGCATCAAAGGCACAGCCTAATTCATATGTTCCCATGGCAGAGCCGCCTGTCATGTTTTCTGTGTAACAAATAACTATTCTATGGCAGCTGTTAAAATAAAAGCAATTAAATGAACTAGAATGCAAAGTTACCGTTAACTTACCTATAAAACAATGAGGTCATCAGAGCTGAGGAAGGGGAAATAAACTGCAAAATGAAGAGCCCTCTTGCTTATTTCTAGAGGGATCTTGCCATGACAGGGCCACTTTCTTTTGCTTAATTTTTGAGTGAAGAGGCGAAGCCAATCGAGAGTGGCAGAGAGGTCTCCCGCTTAAAGGCTCTCTAAGATGACTAGCCGAAAAGTAACTGCCTCCCTCGCAATTCTCCTCCTTCCCAGGTCTGTCTTTGAAAGCCTCAAGGCACCGTTGCCTGTGTCGTCCACAGGGTGGTGCTGTGGGTCTTCCAATCCTACCGCAGGAAAGGGTGGGGTAGGTGTCGAGTATTTTCCACAGAAGGTGAGGGGGAGGGGGGAGTGTAAGGTCTGGGGAGGGTGGAGGATAAGTCGTCATCGTGGAACAGAGGAACATTTTAGTAAGACAAGATGGGAAGAAGGACCTCTTTTTTTATACTGTATAAATTATAGGACTCGCTTGCTTACCTTATCCTGAACATGCTCCCCTCCTTCTGTGAGTTCTCCTGAACTATGTAAAAAGGTCTGAATAGGAAATTTCATATTTCAGCCTGACAGCAACTTTGCACATTTTACTTCTTAATTTTTGTGTGTGGTTCTGTCTTTTAACAGTTTAAATGCTTAAGAAAGCCTTTTTTTTCTGAACAGGCGACAAAAATTAGATATTTATTTAAAATATTTTTACCCCACCAGTCTCCTTAAAAAGGACCCAAGGTGACTTACTTCATTAAAAACAATTTGAAACCTAAAAACAGTACATATACAAATATATTGAGACCTAAAAACAGTAAATATACAAATATTAAAAAGAACCAAACAAATATCACATTAAAACTGGTAAACAAAAACAAAACATAACCAGGTTCAGAGCAACAAGGCATAGACTCCAATTTAAATCCCTATCAGATAATGGGGAAAAGATGTGGAATTTTTATAGACTGTTTATAACTGTCTCATAGACTAACCCTACAGACATCTTTTCAAAAGTAAGTCCCACTGAGTTCAATGAGATTCGCTCTTGGGAGAACGGGTGGATAAAAACCCATGTGCTTCCAAAATGCAGCATAACTCTGCCCTTCAAAAATACTATCCACTGCACTGACAGCATTTTACAGAAGCTGACAAAATAGAATAGAACATGGTATTTTTTTTAAAAAAAATGCAAACTAGCCCTTCTGTTTTAAGAACAAAAAAACACACATTGAAATATATATACAGAGGTATACAAAAATATTGGGATCCAATGCAAATACTCAGTTCTGAGGTGAACAACAACAGCATCAAAACATCTCCCCTAAAGCAATTCCAGAACTTCTGGCAAACCATGCTCTAACTTCAGAGGCTCATCCGCTTTTAGGGTCCTTTTTCTAATGCCCATTAAGGGCAGTAAGAAATTTGGCAACCCTATGTGTAAGAATGGGATTGGACTCAGACCGCAGCACATGCATACATTGCTGCTTTGTACAAGTGGGAAATCGGCCAGTCAGAGGGGAAACAAGTTCTTCACGTACATCCTTGTAAAATGTGCACCGCAACAGGACGTGTTCAATTGTCTCTGTCTGCTCCATTCCACATGGGCAAAGGCGCTCTGCCCAGGGAAACTTTTTATGCTGTCCCTCCTGCACTGCTGAAGGTAGTGTGTTAAGCCAGGCTAGAGTAAACGCCCTTCTAAGCCTGGGCTGCTCCAACTGGGCAAAATAAGATGCTGCTGTAACATTGTATAAATTGTCCTCCCTAAGGTAGAATTCTGCGGCACTTCTTAAATCAGGGGTGTCCAACCTTTCACCTTCCCTGGGCCACATTAGAAGATGAAAATTTGGTTTGGGCCGCACATACATTTGGTTTGGGCCGCATGGGGGGGCAGCCCTAGCCGTCCTCCGCAGCCCCGCTCCAATCCAATAGGGAGATAAGACAGTGTGAGCCAGTGCATCAGAACTGCAATCCATATCCTGGCTTTGATTTTAATTTGGCCAGTTTCCAATCTTAGTTTTACGTTGGCGACATCTCTGGGGACTCCTAACATTGCCCTCAGGAATTCTGATTGCACACATTCTAGGTTTGCAATATTTGGGAAAGGGCCCAATTGGAAGCCATACAGTAGTTGGGCTACTGCTTTTGTGCAGAACAGTTTAATGGGTGAGGGAATGTAACCCCCCCTTTGTCTCATAAATTGTAATATTGCAGCACAACTTAATCTGGGCATTTAATGCCACATAATCACCGTGTGCTTTCCTAGAGCCGTTAGATTGGAAAACGACACCTAAATATATTCTTGAAGGCTTTCATATTTAAATTGGTGGATCTGATTTATCATGCATGTTCGCATTATTGACCTTTTGTCAAAATACATGATTTTTGTTTTTTGAAAATTAATTATCATGTCTTCCTGCTCACAATATATAGACAACCTTCCCAATGCTCTTCTAATCCCAATTGGGGGTCCTAGAGATGATAGTTGTATCATCGGCATACAGTAATGTTGTTATATGCCTCCCTGCGATTTTAGGGGGATGAAAGTCAGTATTTTTAACTGGTCCACCATAGAATCAATGTAAAAGTTAAAAGTGGAGCCAGAAGGCAGCCTTGTTTGACTCCTTTTTGGGTTTGAATGGCCTTAGTAAGATGGCCGTGTGCACTGCATCTTACTTTAAGTGAGGTATTTCTATAGAGAGCCTGAATAAGTTGAAACAGACGCCTGTCAATATTAGAAGCCTCTAGTCCCCCCCCCCCCCCCAATTTATGATAGTGAGTCAAAAGCTGCCTTGAGATCTATAAAAGCTGCATGGAGTGAGGTTGCCATTGTTGTAATACCAAGCATTGGTCAAAGGTAGATCGACCTTCCCTGAAGCCTGCCTGCTCTTCTGCAAGGATCTTATCCTGCTCCAGCCAATCTTTGAATTTCCAGTATAAGTACCTGGTATGTAATTTACAGATTGTGCTAATGAGACTAATGGGCCTGTAATATGCAGGGTCATATCTCTTTCCCTTTTTAAAAATGGGGACTATGATAGCAAATCCCCAGTTTTCTGGAATTTGGACAGTAGCGTCGATACACGTGAATAGTGATGCTGGAACCAGAACCCAAAATTATAGATTATTTCTGACCGCCTCTGAAGGAATCAGATCTTCTCCAGGGCCTTTTCCCATTTTCATCTGGGCTATTACATTGTGTATTTCACAAGTTGACACAGGTGACCATAGTGGAACATCTTCATGTGTGCTATTCCATCCCAACTGGGCTGCATCTGCATCTTTATATACAGTGGGGTCTTGACTTGAGAACTTAATCCGTATTGGAAGGCGGTTCTCAAGTCAAAAAGTTCTCAGGTCAAATCTGCATTTCCCATAGGAATGCATTGAAAACCATTTAATCCGTATCTGCTCTTTTCCGTCCATAGAAACTAATGGGAAGTTGCTATTCCGCCTTCGACCACTAGAGGTGTGCTAATGAGACTAATGGGCCTGTAATATGCAGGGTCATATCTCTTTCCCTTTTTAAAAATGGGGACTATGATAGCAAATCCCCAGTTTTCTGGAATTTGGACAGTAGCGTCGATACACGTGAATAGTGATGCTGGAACCAGAACCCAAAATTCTAGATTATTTCTGACTGCCTCTGAAGGAATCAGATCTTCTCCAGGGCCTTTTCCCATTTTCATCTGGGCTATTACATTGTGTATTTCACAAGTTGACACAGGTGACCATAGTGGAACATCTTCAAGTGTGCTATTCCATCCCAACTGGGCCACATCTGCATCTTTATATAAGTATGGAAAGTGCTGGGTGGATATAACAATCTGGAAGTGTTTGCCCAGAGGTTGGAGAGATCTTTATCAGCCGCCAGAACAGAGTCAAGTCCTTAGATTTTGCTGCTTGAATCAATTTTTCCCAATTTTCTTTCTGGGCCTCTTTTTTTTGTACTAGTAGATTTTTATAGATTTTTTATCTATTTCAGAAGGGTTTGGGCTACTTTCAGATACGAACTTAATTTATAGGCTTGGTAGGTGCTCTGTAAGACTTTTTATAGCTAGTACACATTCCTTGTCAAACCATGGCTTCGAAAGAAACTTTCAAGAGAAGAGAAGACCTTTAAAAGGATGGATTCTGGGTATAATGTGTTACTATAACATTTGTTACTTTCCCCAAGAGAAATGGTGTAGCATTACTTAATGACTTTAAAAGACTTTAGAATTAATATCAACACATTTTATGTGGTTTAAAATAGTTACTTCCAGCAACGATTCCAGCAAACCATATAGCCACCAAAGATATTTCTTTTCTGTTTAATTTAATTTAATATATGACTGCTTTAATGCTCCTTGATTGATTGTGAACTGCCCAGATTTACCATCGGTCAAATGGATGGTATATACAAACAAACAACTTATGCTATCTCTGTGTGTGCTTGCACCTCCTCCTCAAAATAAAGGCATCTAGATATGTTTCCATGAAAATTATTTCTATACATCCTTGGTGCTTCAGCATGTCTTTCATTACAACTCCCCAAAGCTAATGCTCCTTGATTGATTGTGAACTGCCCAGATTTACCATCGGTCAAATGGATGGTATATACAAACAAACAACTTATGCTATCTCTGTGTGTGCTTGCACCTCCTCCTCAAAATAAAGGCATCTAGATATGTTTCCATGAAAATTATTTCTATACATCCTTGGTGCTTCAGCATGTCTTTCATTACAACTCCCCAAAGCTCTAGCCAACAGTGCATCCTTGGTGCTTCGGCATGTCTTTCATTACAACTCCCCAAAGCTCTAGCCAACATAACTAGTGGACACAGTTTTTGAAAACCATAGCCCAACCATAGTAGGAGTCCTGCAGCAGGAATTGCTGACTAAAGAAGAGCCAATGGTTCCTTAGTCAAATCAAATGCAATTCTTGTAGCAACTATGTTATGGGATGTGACAGGATGAGCATGTCAGTTAGCTAGCACACTCACAGGGAGCTGTCAGGCCCCTTTGAGATGGCTGAGAGAGCTCAGCCATTGGAAAAGGCTAAAGCCCACCAACCCCAGACCTACTGGAGTATGCCACACTATAAATATGCTGCCACCAACCATTCCCTTTAAGGAGTCACACAGACCAGGAATGGATTTTTAACAAACAAAAGAACAAGGTTTATTTAAACAACAAACAGGGTAAATAAAATGATCAGGTAAATAAA